AAGGAAAGGGGTTCCAAGAGTAAGCAAAGGAGTCAGAGACAACTCCACTCCCACTGTTAAAAGAGTCCCACACACACCCCAAGCTAAACAAGTACAGCACATACGCAGAGACAGATCACTGAGCACAGACCCATGCAGGCTCCATGATTGCTAGAAACTTCAGTCTCTGTGAGCCCCTATGAGCCCTGTTTAGTTGATTCTGTGGGCTGTGTTCTCCTGGTATCCTTGACCCCTCTGGGTCCTACAATGCTCCCCCTCTTCTGTGGGTTTCCCTGGGCACCATGTTTGGATGGAGGTGTCTGCGTCCATCAGCTACAGGAGGAGGCCTATGTGATGACAATGATGGGGTTAGGCACTGATCTATGTGTCTAACATAAGAGCAGTAGGAATCATTTCAATGACTTTGGTGGGGACGGGGGTGTCAGTTGTGTTTGGCTAGGTCTCAGAGCTATCTAACTTCAGTTCCTAGCCATCCAAAAGAATACATCTGAGGGACTGGAGAGATGGTTCAGCGTCTAAAAGCACTTGCTGCTCTTCCAAAGGACCTGAATTCAACTCCCAACATCCACATGGTGGCTCTCTCTTATAACTCCAGTGACAAGAGATCTGATGCCTGCTTTTCATGTACATGCCAAACATACGTGTAGGCAAAAACACCCAAACACAGGATATTAGGGAGAAAAAAAAATTGCCAGCTACAGTGGCTTGCGCCTGTAATCCAGGCAGAGGCAGCCCTTTGTGAGTTCCAGGCCAGCCTGGTCTACCAAGTGAGTCCAGGACAGCCACGGCTACACAGAGAAACCCTGTCTCAAAAACCAAAAAAGAAAAAAAAGAAGGTTTAAACCTTTGAATAGAAACTTTAGACTGGAATTGGGCAAGCAGTGAGACTAGAGTAGAATAAACCCAGAATACCTGTCCTGACAGGAAGGTCTACAAACCTGTGGAAGATTGGCCCCCGCCCCTCACCTTCACGGTCCCGCCCCCACACCCCTCGTGGAGGGGAAAACAAAAAACAAAAACAAAAACAACAAAAACAAAACAAAACAAAAAAAACAAAAACAAAAAACAAAAACGAGCAGGTATCGCCTGCGCAGGCACAGTGAAAAGCGGAGGTCTGGTCTTGGTTTCGTTGTTCCGGTTCAGAACACACCAGCTCTGAGCCTCTTACCTGGGACTAGGCTGAGGGAGAAACTGACTCGGCCGCCCGAAGCCGTTGAGGGAGGGCCCGGCAGGGCGGCCGGCGACGCCGAGGGTGGGGCCGGCGGGGCTCGGTTGGCCTGTGAGCCAGAGGAGCGCCCGGAGCGCTTCCGAGCCCGAGCATCGAGCATCGTCCCCCTCCTCCCAGGAAGGCCCTGTCAGCCGCAGGGCGGAGTCCGCCCTGAGGAGAGGGGCGGAGCCGCCTCAGGCGTCGGGCAGGAGGCCGTTGAGGACCAGGTGGGCCACCCGCAGCCTTCTGCCCGCCGCCCTCTCCCCGGTTGGCCTTCTGGGTATGAGCAGGGTTTTCCGGAACGCGGGTTTCTACACCAGCGTCACCTTTTACTGGGCGATGGAGGCGCAGAGAGCTTTGGAAGGCGTGCGACTCCAAGTGCTTTTCACTCATCTTCTGGCTCCAGGTTTCTGCATGGTTAAAGGATTTCGTTTTTATTTATTCTTGTCATTGCAGTTTACTCAGTTTGTATCCCCGTTGTGGCTCCCTCCCTCGTCTCCTCCCAATCCCATCCTCCCCCTCCATCTAACCATAGCCTATCAGGTCTCATCAGGACTGACTGCACTGTCTTCCTCTGTGGCCTGGCAAGGCTGCCCCCCCCCCCCCCCAGGAGTTTTAAAGGTCCCTGACCATGACTAAGGTGTACAGAGGTCAGCTGTACTCATGTAGAAATTCCACATGAGTTTATGTTGCTGTTTAAGAAATCTTCACCATAAGGCTTTGGCTTCTAGTGCGTGTGTGTATTTTTGTGCACACACAAAAATCCTCTCGGCACAGGAGCCATGGAGCACATGTCAGAGTCACAGGGATAACTTTATGGAGTCACTTCTCGCCTATTTTTACACGGGTTGCAGGAACTGAACTTAGATACATGCCAAGCCTCTTTACCTTCTAAGTCACCTCGCTGCTGTTGACGTCTGTTATTTTTAGGTGGATTTAAAGCGTGAGTTTAACTATCTCTGTCACTTGTAGCTTTATCATCATGTTTGTTATTAATGTTTATTATTTGATTTATCTTTTAGTTAATCAGCGGTTATTCCTAAACCACCTGTATACCCAAATCACCGCACTGAGACTAGGATGTATTTAGTTAGCCTGGAGCACAATGCTGAGCAATGATTACTCCATCCTAAACCTCCAAGCCCACATAGCTTCCTAACATTATTTCCAACATTATACTTGCTTTTAATCAATCTTAGGCCCGATTAATCTCTCCTTGTGGTTCTAAGTCCTCTCACCCTATTCTCTCCATTGCACAGCATTGGCTGTTTGTTGGATTGAAAATACAGAGAACAAATGGTCACATCTTTACACAAACTTGAGACAGGTGCTGCTTAGAAGAAACATCACAATGCAATGTTCGGATTGAAACCAGATA